GCGTGGGCCGAAGGAAAGAGAGAGAGATTGAGTGGAGTGCAAGTCAAGTTATTAGTTTCCATCTTGCTTTATGATTTCTAGCTTAATTAGGATTTCTAATATTTTATTGCTTTATTAGTTCCCTAGGTAGACTAGGACTAGATATATTTTGTGCCTATATAAAGGCCCCTTCCCCATGTTATTTTTCATCATCAAGTTTATTAATAAGAATCCGAACTTCTGTTCAAACACTTTGTCTTAGATTTCTTTTAGATCTCTATTGCAAATTTTATTCGTTTCAATAGGCGCGGCTGTGGCTAGAGAAACACCTATCGGCGATTCAAGGCGCGGATTCGAGGCTTATCGGCAGTCCAAACACACGATCTTCATCATTGGTGCTTTCATTAAGAGGTGTTAGATCGTGTGTTTTTCTTCTACCCCATTCCCTTTCTTTTCCCTCTTTATTTTTCGTCCCCCTTAAAAAAAATAAAACTAAAAATAGAAAAAAATTATATATCATCATCCTCAAGACGAGTCCACAAAGTAAGGAGCGAAGACAACAGAAGAAAACAATGGCCAACAAGGAGATGAAGGACAAGATCGATAATCTTGACATCCAAGTGCGAAGCATGAGCGAGGCCATGGAGCGACGGCTCGGATCGCTCGACAAGGGCCAAGGCAACACCAACGCTGCCGTGGCACGACTCGAGCAACGGCTGGATGAGATCTTGCGTGGGCTTCAACTGCAGCGACGAGGGCGCGATGAACGCTCGCCATCACCAAGGCGCCAGGAACGGCGCGCGCGCGAGCGGCGCAAAGAGGAACGGCGAGGTGGAGAGTTCGAGCGAGAGGACGATTACGATCAACGGTACCAGGCGTCTAACTACCAAGATCGGCCGAAGCCTGACAAGCCGAGGATCATGCTTTCAACTTTCAACGGATCCGATCCCGAAGCTTGGCTCAACCGTGCTGTTCAATCCTTCAAGCTCAACGAAACAGATGTCCACGATCGAGTAAGGTAAGCAACATATTATCTTGATCGCGAAGCCAACGTGTGGTGGCAGTGGCTCACAAGTGTCTACCGCAACCGACAGTGAGTCATCACATAGGGCGATTTTGAGCGATAGTTACTCCCACGCTTTGGTACATCCGACTACCACAACTATGATGAGGCGCTGACTCATATAAGGCAAACAGGTTATTTACCTAATTATCTGAAGGAATTTGAGCGTTTAGCATGTCGAGTACGAGGTTGGCCCGAAACTGCATTGGTAGGAGCATTCATAGGAGGTCTGAAGTATGATCTTGCGGCTGATGTTCGTCTGGAACAACCGGAAACCATGCACGCCGCTATGGAAGTCGCCCGACGACGCGAGGACCACCTAGCGGCCACGCGAAGGGGACGAGCGGACACCCGTTTTACCGACACACGGCGCGCAGGCCTGAGCTAAGCAAACGCGGGCGCACGACCGGCCACCAGCGCTCGACCAACGGGGCCAGTAGTCAAGCAACTCACATCTGGGGAGATCAAACGCCGACTCGATAAAGGTCTTTGTTTCAAGTGTGAGGAAAAATTTATGCCAGGGCATCGATACAAGCAGGCTTTTGTCATAGAAGTTGCCAATTCCAATGATGAAGAGAATGAAGTCGAGGAAGAACTAGAGCCAGTAGATGAGATTGATGCATTCAATGAGGAGGCTAAAATCTCAATGCATGCAATGGCTGGGATCAGAGGGCCAAGGACGATGAGGCTACCAGCTTGGTTCAAGGACCGACGAGTGATAGTACTCGTAGACAACGGGTCATCACACAACTTCATCAATGTTGACTTTTCTCAGAAGCTGAAACTTCCAACCACGAAGATTGAGCCCTTTGAAGTTCGAGTAGCCAACGGTGAAAGGCTACAATGCACCGAGTCCTTTCGTAAAGTACCAATCAAGTTCTAAGGTGTCATTGTGGAAGCCGATCTCTATGCCCTACCCTTGGTTGGGCCAGTGCAATGGCTGGAAGGACTTGGGAAAGTGACCACGGATTACCGCACCAGAGTCATGGAGTTCGGATCTGGAAAAAAGCGAGTCACTCTTAAAGCTGGAGGAGAAAAGGTTACTAAGGAAGTTGGACTGAAGAGTATTGAAAGAGTTTGGAGATGTGGCGGCCAAATTTTTGCAGTAGTAGTCGAGAACACAGGGGCGCACGTGGGCAAGATTGAGCAACAACAAGGAGATGTGTGTAATATCCCGTAATGTTAATTATATAAATCATGTTTTTAGTTCAAATATAATAATATTGTCGAGTATTATTTTTCGGAATTAATTATTTCAGTCGAGATTACCCGAAATTATTTTCGACGTCTCGTTTACGTTCGGATTAATTTTGGTAATTAAGTAATATGCTTAGTAATTAATTAAGCATAATGTGGTGATTAACTAATTATTAATCACGCTTAAATATTGTTTAAAGCTGTAGCAAATGAGTTTTGGTCCCATTTTAATTTGAAAATGCCGTAGGCATTTGATAAATTTTTCAAAGGAAAATTCTCCCTTTTTGCAAACATGAGGTGCCCTATTCTTGAGCATTAAGTGATGACTAAGCATTGTTAGGGGATGAGTTAGCAATTTTAGTAATTATTATGAGGGCAAGTGTCCTAATCTCTTTAGACCAACAAAGCACCTCATCACCCTCATTCTTTTGTTCGGCCATCATATTTAAGAGGAGAGTTGGGATCATTTTTTTTTTCCATTTTTCAGCCTAAGTATAGAGAGTTGGGAGAATTAGTGAGATTTGAGATTTTTTCCCAAAGTTTAATAGCTACCGCAAGCTCGCACGCGAGAATTAACCGCACCGCACGCAAACGCCGTACACGCACGGAAGTACCTTGTGTAATCCGGCGAACAAGTGAAGAGGTAATCACTTGGGATATCTCCTTTCTATGTTAGTAGCATCATGATTCAGCTTATGTCGTGTAACCGATCTCATGTATTAGCCATAAGTGCTTCGGTCGTGCGTATAATTATGTTGAGCATGTTCTTGTTTTAATTCAAATTCTCGAGCAAACCATATGTATTCAGCCATGTTATGCAATATCATGTTCAGCTAAACATATGTGCTTGAGGAATTATTCATGTTAGTCATTAAGTCGGCCGAGGGGCGTGGTCGCGCACGTAGCGCGCACCACGGGCCGAGCATGGTTATTAATCGTATTCAGTAGCAGACCTTCAAGCTCTTCATGTCAATTTATTCAGTAAATAATATGTCATGTTCAGTTGTGTATAAATTGCCAAGAGGAAAGCAAGTTCGGTCGAGAAACGGCTTAACGCCGTAGGCGGCGCACGGTGCACACGCCATCAGCCGTGAGGGTCCGTCGAGCCAAAGTTTATGTTATTATGTTCAATCTCAGGGAATTTAGTTGCTATGATCATTTCATGTTAAGTCATGTTGTTTTATGTTGTTTCGGTTGGAAGAAATCGCCGGACGGCCGGCAAGGGCCGGTCGTGGCCGCGCTGCCCGCACACAGCGGCAGCAGCGTGCCGGCAGTCAGTGATGACGGATCGATTTTCTGTCTATACGATGGTTGCGAATAAACGGCGCACTGCG